CGAAATGTTTTTCAGAAGAGCAGACGCTTTTTTTTGACTTCCCTGTAAACATCGTTTTACAAGGAAAAAGGGATGTTCTGAAAAAGGTTTTTTTCCCGACATTTGGCCCAGTGTAGAAAAGCTTCTTCCAAAAAAAGAAGCGGAGAAAGCTTTTTCCAGAAGAACTGTGTAGTCTAGATACAGCCTGGTTGAGAACCATTATGTGAAGATGAATGCAAGAAAATTATGTGTGTTCTTAAGCAAAATAGCTCTCAGCAGAAAGAATGATTTGCATAATTTGCAACTTTCTTTGTATCATTCATTGTTTTTTTACATATCTGGTCTATTCAAGGCACTGATGATACCCAACAAAAAATAGAACCCCACTACACAGCTGTGTTGGATGATGGCGACTCTGTTCAGTTAGAAAACAAGGTAATTCTGATCCTGTCCTCATGCCTAGAGTTTATAACTTATTTCTGTAAAAGATTTTGGATTGCAATTATCAATTTTATTTCTTTGGTATTTCCATCACTCCCCTCTCACCCCCTGCCAGTCTTTTAATGCACAGAAAATGCAAGTATACATAAGAAATATTAGGACTAGGAAGATGCAGGCATGTCCATTTAGAACTAGTCTTAAAACCACTTTTTTATTTTTTCATAATACATATCAGTTCCCCCCTGGTGTTGGAAACACGTCAGATTAGGGGTGAAATCCTAACTCAGGAGCTTTGCCATTGACTTCAGTGAGGCCAGAATTCCACCTCAGCTGTTTGTTTCAGCGCCTTTATTTCTTCTTTCATAATTCTGAACATTCTAACCGGGTAAAAGTGAAGTGTCCCCTTTCACAAAGAAGGCAAATTTCAATTTTAGTAATCTTTTTTTTTTTAAAAAAAAAGCAGCTAATCCCCAAGTGAACATTATTTCTCTGGTTTCTGGAGAGCCTCCAGTGAATAAGGGGTTGTGGTGAAATGGGGCGTGTTCTGCTGGGAAGTAAGCCTGATGTGAATCTCAATCAGCCTCATCTATACCCTGTTGAGATCAACCTGCCACCTTCTTCCTGGAGTGTCCTGTTGCTGAATTCTAACTCCACCTTGGTTAGGTCCTAGTCCTCTCTCACATTATGAAGAGTCATAGAGTGGGACAGTGGGTGTGGGGCAGACCAAGAATAGAAAGTGATACACAAGGAGTGCAGAGTTGCTTGTGCTCAGACATGGGTTGGTGCGTGAATGAAGACTCTCTCTGCTTGGAGGAGACCTTATTCCAGAACTCCAGGACAGGAGTTTTGAAGGAGAGTAGTTAGTTAGTAGGTAGTTTGAATTAGAGATCCTAATTCGAACTATCATTTCTCCTCGTGGAGTAATGGTTCCATGAGGAGTAACGGTAGTTCGAATTAGGATCTCTAATTCGAACTACATACTCCGTGCCGTGTGTAGCCACGGGCATGGAGTTCGGACTAAGGGGGATTTAAAAATGGCGGCGCCCGGGAACATGCAAATGAAGCCCGGGATATTTAAAGCCCGGGCTTCATTTGCAACTCCAGTTGCCCTCATTTGCCTACCTAGCTCGAAGTAACGAGCTAGTGTAGACATACCCTTAGATAGGCCACTGACCAGCCATTAGATGACAGAGACTAGCAATTACTGACCCGGACTTCAGTGCTCAGCACAATATAAATACAAAGACAGAGAGGACTGGAGTTGAACTGATCACAGAGATGTTAAAAGCACATTACCAATTCCTATGAATCAGCCAGTCCTTTTGCAATTATATTTTTTAATAGAAAATGCAATCTGTAATCTTCAGTAACTGTTCTTGATGGTTACAAGATCAAATAAAGGTCAGGAGTATGCCAGATGAACTCTTAAAATAGTTTTTGGATGTCTTGAGAGTGGAAAAAGTCATCCAGTTTTGTCCAGGTATGAAATTTAAATATACATTCTGTATAATATACATTGACTTCTATGTAAACAGCTGCAGGGGCATAGATCATTAATTCTCTCTTGCTGACACCAGGGAACTGATTTACCCTTTTTTTTGACCTGAGAATTGAAATGTTAAAATCCCATAAATGTAAGTGTAAATAATATTTCACCCCCAGACTTCCCCACTAGTATCATATGAGTTGTCCTTTCAGGTTAGTGTGAATGATCCTGAAATGGAGATGAGGCCTGGTGGAGTCAAGGTAGCTCTCACAACTTTGCTGTCATATACCATTCCATCTGTGCTTTCAGAGTTTATATTTCCAAGTAACGTTTGGACCTTGTGTTCACTCTGGAGCCATCTATGGTACATGCTATACTGTGCTGAGGCTGTCAGTAGAGGGTATTGTAGGAGCAGTAATAGGCAAAATATTTCAGAAAAATATATGTGTCTTCCTGTCCTAATTTCAGACTACTGTCTATATAGCCACTGAAACGCAGTAGTTTAGCTTAGTTCGTCCATAGCTACCTTTTCTGTTAGCTCCACTGCACTTACTATCTTTTTTTGTGAAGATTACATTATGGAATACGAAGGTGGGTTGTCTCTATTCTGGAGACTCCGTGCTGAGACAGGTTAGCTCTTCTTTTGAGATCTAATTCAGGTCAGTATCTATGAAGGTATTTAGGCACCTAAGTCCTGCCTTTAGGCATCGCTCTGATCCACAAAACTCCCACTCAGTTGCCTAAGTTGTATGGTAAAAGTTCCCTAGGAGGCTATGTTTGATTCTGGGCAAGAGCACTGATGTCTCTGCTCTAGATGGCTGGGTACCTATCTGAGCAATTCATGAGCTGTAAAAGATAAACACACCTTTGCCTAACTCACCTGTGGGGTCAGATCTAGCAGGTCTGCTCAGAGGCCATCTAACGCCACCCAAAGTGGCCTTATAAACTTATTTATAAACTTTAGCCAAGGAGCGAGAGCATTCACATGGGATGGGAGATACCACAAGTTCAGGTTCCACTTCTCCCTCTGAGGGAGAAGGGATTTGTACAGGGATCTGCTGCCTCTCAAATGAGCGCCTTCACCATTATACTAGAGAGTCATTCTTACCGGCCCTATTAATATTTAAATATTCAATTAAAGTGGAATAATTGCAATAAGAGAGATTCAGGGAAACCCACAGAATACTCTGTAGCATGGTAGTTAAGGCACTCCCTTGTGAGGTGAGAGACTCCTTTTCTCCTCTTCTCCTCTTGAGGCAGATGCTAGGGGACTTGAACCAACTCCTCTGCCTTTCCCACTCCCTGGCTGTCTTGGGTAAAGTTAGACAGTCTTTGAGTACAGCTATTGGATAGACACCCCCACCCCCATGTTTGTTAGATAAGAAGTGCCTGTCTTCCTCTAGTTCCAGAGGGGTAACCGAGTTAGTCTGTAACAGGAAAAAAATAAAAAACAACAAATGGTCTGGTAGCACTTTATAGACTAACAAAACATGTAGATGGTATCATGAGCTTTTGTGGGCACAGCCCACTTCTTCAGATGACCCGTCATCTGAAGAAGTTTCATGGTCACTTTGGGATGGCAGTGCCCATGAAATCTCATGATATCATCTACATGTTTTGTTAGTCTTTAAAGCGCTACCAGACTATTTGATGTCTTCCTCTAGTTTGTGGTTCAGAAGCAGACATAGGCACCTAACTCTGTGAGAGGGATGGGGCTTAGCACACACCCCTCTTGTGCATCTCTCTGACTGGCTAGCTTACAAGGCTCCCTGCCTAGCATGCTGACTTTGTGGATCACATTCTGAGGCATCTATCTTTCCCCATTCGTTATGTAAGAAGTCTAGGCACTTAATTCAGCTTGGTGGCTCACAGTTTGTTCCCTGATTTTTAAGTGCCTAAATTCCATAGTGGATCCAAACATCAGTTCCTCAGGTCCTGCATTTTGGGCAGAGATGGAAAGGGGGATATATGGGGAGAATAAAAAGCACCTTGCACTTCTTATATGCTAGGGCCTGGCAAAATCTTGTCTGACTGCTGGTGTAAGTTAGGCTAAGAGCAGCTCCAGTTTACACTCTGCTTTTCACAGTCTCCTGTGATAGGGCTGCCAAATTTCTAATCTCACAAAACTGAACCACCTTGCCGTGCCCTTTGCCCTGCCCATTCTTTGAGGCACACCCTGCTTGCTCCATCCGTCTCCTTCCATTGCTCACTTTCCCCCACCCTCACTCACTTTCTCCAGGCTTGGGCATGGGTTTGGGGAGAGCGCTCCGCCTTGAGGTGTGGGCCCTGAGGTGAGGTTAGATATGAAGGGTTCAAGGTTCAGGGAAGGGTTTGGATTTTGGTAGGAGACTGGGATGTTGGGGGGCGGTGATGGCTCCAGATGAAGCTGTAGGCTCTGGGCTGGGGCTAGGGATGAGGGTTTGGGGTGTAGAAGGGACTCAGAGCTGGGACAGGGGTGGAGGGTGCAGGCCCTATTAGAGGTTTGGGTGCAGGAGTGGGCTGGCAACCCTAACCTGTGGGTGATAGGAAGCAGATAATTGTCAAAGTACACTCAGGCCACACCTTCTCCATCAGCAGCTAGGAACAGGGCCTCAAACAGCCATTTCTGCTTACTCTGGGGCCTCTTTTCTTTCTGACAGCACAGTGTGAACGGACCTTTACCGCAACTGAGACAGGCCCTGGGATGTTGCCAGTACAGTTGTCAAATCTGTAATATTTAAAAACTGGGCACTTGAACCCGAGTGCTAGAATCTCCCCTTTGACACTGCTTTCCCGTGAGGCCCCGTTCCTGCTCCCTTTCCCCCCGCAGGCCTCACCACTGCCCTGTCTCTTCCCCCGAGACCCGGCTCCTGCCCTGACCCTCCTTCTCCATGAAGCCCCACCCTTCCTTTGGTCCTCTTTTCGCCTTACTCTATCACTTACTGCTCCTCTCTGCCCCCTCCCTCAGTGGATCAGGAGGTGCTGACTCAGGTGAGTGCACTCATGCTCTCAACACGGCGCTAAAGTTTATAAATGAGCTAGGGCTGGGAGCCGCAGATGTCTGTTGCAGATAGGAGCAGAGGTGGCCCTACCTGAGTAGCGACTGGCACAGGAGATGACTCCACACTTCCCCACCTTTCTTGCCCTCAGAAACTGGACTTTGGATGTCTGGTCAGTAGATTTCACTAGGCACTGTCAGGTCCACTTTTTGACCAGACTTGCTGCTCAAAAACCAGGATCCTGGCCACCTTATTTGCCAGTCAGTTGGAGACAAGGTATTTTGTGCCACTTATCAGAAATTTTGTAGCACACGATAGCTGATTCAAATACCAAAAAACACCAATGTTTCACTTACAGTTTATGTAACTATGATGAGTTCACAGATATCAGAGTTTTTTGTGTTCCACCATGCTGGGCTGATTTCTGTTCACTTTCTTCATGCATGTGGTCCCACCAACTTGTCATGTTAGGAGTCAGCAACCTTCGGCACAGAGCCCTTCAGAGTAATCTGCTGGCAGGCTGCAAGTTATTTTGTTTACATTGACCATCTGCAGGGATGGCCCCCTGCATCTTCTACTAGCCGTGGGGGGATCATGCCTGTGGATGGTCAATGTAAGCCAATGGGAGCTATCTCATGGCCCATCAGTGGAATAGATGAGCCACATGCTGAAGGCTGTCGACCCCTTGCTTATGTGAACAAGATAGGGTCTGGTCTAAGTCTGAAATGCACATGGGGAATCCAATCTTACATCTTCTGTTTCTTTTATAAAATCCATCATCCTCAAAAAATGTAATTGCCACTTGGATATAATCTGACTTTCACCCCCATCGTGCAGCCATTCTACAATGTGTTACCAAAACTGTTCAGCTGCGTGGGGCTACTTATTGATGAGAAATGTTCAGTCAGATTTCATTCATATCCTGTGGGCTCTAAATCATTAGCCACTTAGATTGACTCACTGCAGAAATTTGTGTAATCTGTAAGGACATGACTGCAGTAAAAAGCCGTTCGTATACAGTTGATGACATATCA